TCTCACACACACACACACACACACACACACACACACACACACACACACACACACCACTGAGTCGCCTTCGCTGCACCATTTCAGTGCCGTCACATCAGCAGCCTCTGATTGGTTTGTTGCATCTCTCAGCTGCACCATCTGGCCTTCGTGTCATCGCCTTTCGTTGCCGATGGAGTGGCGCGGCGCTGCTTCACCATCGCTAATCACAGAGCATGTGTGCTTCCATACTGCCCCCCGATGGCCTGCCCATGTTTCCTAACCAGGAGCTGTCAGCTCAGAGCACAACCAGACCTCTGGTTACTCAGCAGGTGATGGGAAATGAATACATAGTAAAGGAACGATGTCACAAACTTGAATAAACATAAATATTTTGGCATTAATAATCCACACAAGTTTTCAATGCATGATGTTTCCTCGTTATATTGGTGGTGCCACCAGGAGGCCCCTGGTTGTAAGACTGTGCCGTCACACACAAAGGAAAAAAACTTCTCTCATGACAGAGAACAAGAGTGTGCATGCTTGAGCGTGTCAGGTCGATGTGGGCGGGAGCAGTGTAGCTGCGCCTTTGCTGCCCATCTACACGGACTCATGCAGCTGTGCTTCGTGTAGCCGTAGTGTGACTGTGCTCTTTAGTGTTTTATAGGTGGGGTGTGTTTAGATGGGATATAAATAGACGATTGGATCGGTGAACTGTAAGAAACGTACATTACACAGTGTATGAAACACCCAGGACATCAGTGAGCTGGAAGGAGCCTCACACGCTGTACAAGGGTGAAGCAAGCCCACACACACACCACCAGCTCGGCCTGCCTGCATGTTTGTTTTCCTTCAGCTGATCATTTCTGGTCAATCGAGCCGTTCATCTGCATAAGCGGAAGACGAGGCGGGGGCGGGTCAGCGTCACTCAGTCTGACTTCCTGTCTGCCCCGCCGTCACAAAAAGCAGATTAATGAGCAGTGCATGTGCAGCAAGCACTCGTCATCAGTAGCTGTTAGGAGCAGACAGAGGCGCAGCTTCATCTGTCATACACGTCCCAGTTTACTTTGTGGAAGGGATCGTCTAATTTCTCCAACTCTTCCCTCTTTCCTCCAGGATTCAGACTCCCCACGCCACTCCACGGCCTCCAACAGCTCCACCTTCAGCAGCCCTCCCAGCCCGGCCTCCCCACACAAGACCAAGTCCCTGTCCTTGGAGAGCACAGAAAGGATGGGCTGGGACACATGAGCCCCCAGCGGTCCATCCGACCCCCCTCACCCACCCACCGACTGACCCATCAACGACCCACCCACCGACAGCACAGGACTCCAAATTCTCCAACTCTTCCTTTTTTGAATATTGTTCCCTCACTGCCCAGAGAACTGCACCTCCTGCCCACCACTCCCTCCCAAAGAAGATTTGTCCCACTTTACCCCCCCGCACTGTGTCTCAGCGTTCTTCCACAGTGGGGCCGAAACACTCGCTAGACAGCGAGGGACAAGCTATCAAATGCTATCCGTGGTGTACATGTGGGTGCTGATGTTTGGCTTGTGTGTGTGAGTGTGTGAGAGAGAAGGTGTGTGTGATGTCGGGCAGGTGATGCAGGAACAGGAAGCTCCCATTTTGGCTCTTTTTGGTCAACTTGTCGAGATTCACTGAGAGACTCTTAAAAAGTCACGATGCAATCCAAAAAGAAGATGAAATATTATTGAGAGCAGAAGGTTTGTACTTGTACATAGGACCCGCCGGGATTCAGGGGACAGTGTTTTAATTTATTTATCAATCATAGACGAGGAAAGGGGCTCTGCTGCTTTGTGGCCGAAGCAGACGGGTGGAGTTACCCCCCCCCCCCCCCCACCTGCTTTCTCTCTGGGTGCTGCAAAAAGATAAAAAAAGGAATTACTTTTATTTTTTGCTCCTGATACTAAGTGCAGCGACTTTATAACATTTTTAATTTCCACCATCAGCAAAAAGCTCCAACAGCGGCTCCTGTGACATCACACGACAAACTCATTCGGTTCCCCAGAGCGAACGACATCATCAGGGGTGCGCGTCCTCCGTCGTGGACGCTCCACGTTGTCCAGCCAAAACTCCCGACACAGTCATGTACATAGGTTCAGAGTAGAGAGTAATATATGATAAGGAAAATACTATAGAGAACTACACGGGGCGGAAAACTCCTCCTTTATTTTCCCGCTTTTGTTTGGAGAGATTCCGGGTTGTTTCGCACTCGAAGCCATTTTAAAACCACTTATTTTGTTTTTACTGATTTATTTTAGATTTGTTTGTTTTCATGTTGTTTCTATGACGTGTGCGCATCCCTCCCCTCCACTTCATATGAGTGGGGGGAAAAAAGCTGACTTGTGTATCGGCACTGCTGCCTGTACGCAGACGCAGACAGACACACACACACACACACAGGCACACACACACACAGACACACACACAGACACACACACAGACACACACACACACAGACACACACACAGGCGGTTGTTGCCTTGTTGTGCTCCTCTGACTGTTGGCGGTGTTTGAAAGGTCGCTGAGATGAGCTGTTTCACCAAATACGGACACAACAGGGAGGCGCCGCGACTTTGCTCGTTCCAACCAACGTTTTAATGACTCGTGAAAATTTGTAAGAGGAGGGATTAAAAAAAACGAGAATGTAAACAGTGCGAGGAAGTCACACCTGGGTTTGTGTTCTGGAGGCGATGGAGTAAATGACCTCTGCCTGTTGTTGTTGTGTGACCTGAACAGGGCCGGAGCTCTGAGCCGCCTCCACGGCACTACTTTACTCTACTTTACTTTTCCTTTGTCAGTGGAAAGGCCTTTAAAAAAATAGAAGAGCAGGAAACGGTGTGGCAGCTTCTGGCTGCAGAGCAGGGCATTCACAGCCAAAAACCTGTTACCTCTGTTCATCTCCTGTAGGCATTTTGACCCGAGGGACACGGCGGCGTGGCATCAAAGAACCCACAGAGGGTTTTAGCCTCGCTCCACATGATTCCACTCGTCCTGTTTGTCAGAAAGGGAAAACTCTTCAGTGGTCATTCCCCCTGTGGAAACACAGCAAAGAGCTGCAAACAGCTCATTCCAGGTGTTCTTATTTTTATTATTTTTTAATTTGAAGAGAGGTTTAGAGCTCCCAGCTGGTTTTACTCCAAATATCTTAGAACTTTTTTTTAAGCTAGTGACTCCTTCGTTCCTGCGACGAGTTCATCTGCAGAACGACGAGCCGGTGTGTGAGGTGTTAGCCAGGCGGCGTCTGTTTTTCATTTTTGGCCAATACTGTGCAGAAAATCTGATCCTAGATGTCCCGGTTCAAAGAGAGCGAGAAGGGGAAACTCAGGAAACAAATTTTCAGTCAGATGAGCGCGATCGAGGTGCGTTTGATTCATTTGATGGATGGGCAGCAGTAAGTGAGGGAATGTGACTCGGGTGGAGGCGGCAGTGAGTATTGGGTGACAGGTGGCTTCACGGCCGAAGTGCCGCAATTTAAAGAAATGGAAACGCCTTTACATTTCAGTGAGGTCTTATCTCCAGTACCTTCTATATTGTTTTGCTCTTTCATATCATATTCCACTTTGTTTTCTAGGATTGCTTTGTAATAATTTGTACAGTTTTGCATGTTATAGATGTAATCATTTGTTTTCAGTTTGTCGTTTTATTCTTTTTGGAGCGGTTTGGGTGTTTTACTGAGGATAACCCACTACAGCTGATGTAGATTCTTTTTTTGCACAAAAATATTTAAGGTGTAAGGTCAAAACAAAAATAATGTATGGAAGCGGCTGCCACACTTACGTGGAGAACTCATTATATTAACCTGACTCCGATGTATTTCAATAAAGCGGAGGGCTGTTACAAATACACTCAGTGTTACCGTGTGCTCATTTCTCCTCAGGAAACATCAGAAGCTTTTGATTGTTTTGAAACTTTATTACAAATGACCAACAGGAATTCACTTTTTACATCTATGAACATGTTTTGCCTCTGGAGGAAACGTTGCTCTAACTTTAGTAAGGACACATTTGCAAACAGGACGGAGTAAATCTGCTCAAAGCGAACGTGTTCGGACGGAAAGGGAAGGTAAGCTGTGTTCAGGTGTCCGTACAGCTCCATGAAGGTCGCTGGTGATCTGCTTGAGGTCATTGAATCTGTGCTTCATCACCTCTGTTGGGTTTGTTCTCTTCGCAGTCATAAGGCAGGAGTTTGGATTCAGCATGTATACTCTGGATTTCAGCCCTTGGGTTTAAAACAGCAAAGCACAGACTGACATGATTTCCTTGTATCGTTCCAAACATTATTGCACAGGTGCAATAAAACACTCACTAAAATCCAGCTTTTAAAATGAGGCGAGGCTTCTAGAAAGTTCAGCAGACTTAAAATGCCTTCGTGTGCAGAATAGCAGGTTCAGATTCAGCAGAGATCTAAAAGCTGTGGATGGATCTGAGAATTTTCATTCAGTCGTTTCATCCTCACTGAAACCAGTTCTTTCAGTTCTTCTCCATTTAGGCCAGTCTTCTCCTGATTGGCTGCCCCTCATAAACAGAAGAAAACCTGGAACAAGGGTAATAAATCTAAGCCCCACCCCCACCCCAAAAACCTCCCAAACACTAAAGACTAGAGGACGGAGCTCCAAATGTCTCGTGTCCATCATCGAAGTCCTTTTATACAAAGTAAGCCGCGTCGTGCGGTCGGTCACATTTAGTTGTCTGGCTCAGTCGTCGTTCCCCGACTGGGTGGAGTTTAAAAACTGTGCTAAGATTCACACTGGAGGCTACGTCATAAAGCTGTGAGGATGTTTAAGGCAAAGATTTCTGTCCCGTGCCCCCCCCCTCTGTAACCAGACTGTCACTAAGCTGATGCAGCATTTGTTTCATCGATATGTCAGCTCTGAGCTCCCAAACCCATCACAGTGGCTGCTCGTCGACATTCTCCTCCGCAGACTCCACCCCTTCAGGCGGTCGCTCCATCCTCCTCCAGGACTCTGTGGATCCCGTTTCTGGGCACGCCGAGAACCGCCGTGGCCCCGCTGCTCAGGTCCCTGATGCTGCTGTGGCGCGACTGGTTCTCGAGCCTCTGGGCGGAGCCGTGCCGCGACAGGCTGTCGAGGTGATTGGTGCTGCAGTGCCTGGACTGTGATTGGTGGTTTAGACGAGGCAGGCTCCCATATGGCAGCCGCTCGTCTGCGGCTCTGAAACTGGAGGCCGTGTATCTAAATGGAGAGGAGCAGAAATGAGCCTCGGGGCTGTGCGGGTGGGCGGGGTTAATGAAAGACCGCGATGTCAGAACCTACCTGCCGTCTCGCGAGCGGTGCAGGCTGCCGTGGTAGCTGCTCATCTTGGAGCGGGCGCTGCGCACGGAGCCGGCTCGGCTGGTGCTGGCGCTCGGCGGCTCGTCCAGCATGGCCAGGTGGGTGGAAGAGGCGTGTGTGGAGGTCCCTTGCGTGGATGTGCCCCGTGACTTCCTCACAATGGGGGTGTTGGGATCCCTGAGGAGCAGCTGGGTGAAGTCGGGCTCCTGGAGCACTTGTCGGCTATCATTGACCATCCTGCTGCAGCAGGTGGAGGAAGAGGAGGCGGGGAGAGGTGGCAGGGAAAGATGCAGGGTGGAAGGGAGGGAGAGGGGGAAGGTGGAGGGGCGGTGGGTGTGGTAGAAGAGGATTGAGGAATGTGTGGAGCAGGCAACGGGAGAGGGGGTTAATGCTCTGTTTGGAGGGGAAGTGGTGCAGAGGAGGTGAAAGCCTCAGAAGGCGTCACTGCAGGGACACAAACTGAAGACTGAAATCAGGATCTGTTCACATTAAGCTCTGCGCTCACCTGCAGGTCCTCACATCAGGCTTAATGATACGTGTGTGAGACAGGTGCACACTCTGCATTTATAATGTGATAACTAAGCAAACGTGTTTTTATTTGTTATTTTGGGACCATGTGTGAGGAGCTCCGGAGCGTCAGCAGCTGCCCTGAAACAGCCGCGCTCCCATCAGCTGCTGTACACGTGCAACACAAAAGAAATGAAATCCAGGTCTCCTTAAAATAATATTTGAATCAGTATATGTGGAAACATTTCAGTTTGCCAAGCTGTAAAATGTTTGAACTGTAAATGTGTTTCGGGAAGAGAACGCGAGTCCTTGTTTAGTGTCTCCATTGACTACAGAACAGATTAGGAAGAGACAGGAAGTCCACATTTACAGGAAACTGCAGTCTGCTGTCTATCTGCACGATGTGTTGTTTCCCCAATATTAGTGTCTCTTTACTGGTAAATCTATAATTAAATTCTCATTTATCAAGTCCTGAATAATCAGATCTTATAACACCAAATGATGCTGATGGAGCACTTTGCTCTCAGGCTGCTGGGTTACTTCTGCTTCCTTTTTAAAAGTAGAATGGGAACTGGAGCCTTCAGCTTTCAGGCCCCTCGTCTGTTTATCATTGATTGAAATTCATTCAGAAATGTTTAACGACTGAGCTGTCACAACTTTCAAGTACAAAGTTTTATGAAGTCTGCCACATTCCCCCCTTTTTTCTTTTTTTATCCTTTATTTATTTCTCCTTCTTATTTCATTGTGCTGTATATTGTTACTCTTATTTGCCTTGTATGTCTACTGTACAAACTGAACTGGAATGACTGACTGTTCGCTTTATAAGTTCAATAAAGTTTGGAAAAACCCTCTTCGGCCGCTCCCTTTTGCCGTATTTTGCAGCAAAATAATCCACACCCACCGCCGTGCTATGAATTGTGGGATATATGGGACCACGAAGCGTGCACCGGACCACGCTTGATATTTGGGGAGATCGACAGCGCA